AAAAAACAAAACTAAAAGATGGTCCAATTCAATAATAATAATAATAAAACAACAACAACAAAAAAAAGAAACCCAGAACACATCTTCTGCATATGACGTCCACCTAAACTGCTCTGAAGTCCAATTTCTATAGAGGACATGCCCTTACACCAAAGGAAAACATATTTTTTGTCAAGCAGAGAGCCCAAGAGACCGCAGTTTACCCCCTGCCCCAGACTCTGTCTGTAATCACTCACGGTCACTCACACCCTGAAGTTATAAGCTCCCTAAATTCACAGAGGGATGCAAAGATTCAAAAGAAAGGAAATGTCCTCTTCTGAATAGCCATATCTGCACTCATCCCACTGTATGTGGGCTATGACTACGTCTTCAAGTAGGCTCTGCAGCATCTGGACCCTCTCATTTCTCATTCGCCTCCAACACGGGGCAGCCTGGGTGCAGTTGTCCAGGCTTCCTCATCTACTCAAGGGAGGGAAATGAGCTGTCTCGACTGAGATGCTTTGGCTCACCCTGCCTGTCCACCAGCTCCTGCTCCAGAAAGTCTCCCATCAGCCTGGGGACACATTTCCCAGTCCCATGCCATGGCCTCATCTACCCTTGTGTATCTTGCGGGCAGTGGTCACCACTTTGTGGGCAACTGAATCAACCCTTGAATGAAGATGTTTGGCAAAAGTTGAACCATTTGCAGTGTTGACCTTGGTGTAATCCGTATGAAAGAAGATTTCATTGCCAGAACTTTGACACTGTTCTGTACATTCTCATTCAGTCTTTTCACAGGCCATGGACAAAGACCAGCAAGCTGATAGTGCTTTCTCTCCCCTTATGTAAAGAGAGTTGGATACATCTGATTCCTTTTGACAGGTAACATTCGCATTTTTTCATATAGCCCCTGATTCGATTCCTCTCCACCGTTGGCTGTTTTCTTCTAGAGTCCTGCCTTGAGGCACAATGGCTTAGGAGAACCTCTTGTTGAAATATGAGGTAAAGAGGACATGAAGTATCTCTGCTCTATCGCCACCAATCTTACAAAATTTAGATGTGACCACACCTTATTCTTGTTTCTTCTTGCTACTGTTCCTGAAGTAGTAGAATCTTATGATGAAGCCCATGAATTCCCATTCAAGTTTCAATTGAGTTTTGATACAGAAGATTGCAGTGCTTGGAGGATGCGGTCCTTGAAAACCAGGTACACTTGGCTTTGCTGCCCATCAGTGCTGCTGACCATGAGATCCCAGCTAAAACTCCCCACAGTCGGCCAGATCTGCTCCACTGAGGATCGACATCTGCAGTTTTCTATTCCCCTTCCTCACTGCCCTCCAGAGCTCAGACTCCGCTATCACTGTCCCAACAGCCAGTCTTCACACCCCTGACCAGCTCTTCCTTGCTTGCCAGTGTCAGCTACAGGTTTGCATTGCCCTTGTTGGCCCATCTGGCAGCTGTGAAAACAAGCTGTCCCCAAACCGCCTGGACTGTTTGCATGCTGCTGTGTTCCTCTGCCAGAAAATACCGGGGCCATTAAAGTCCCCAGTGAGGCCCAGGCTTCTCCAGACAGAGATTTCCTTGGGGTGCTTTGGAAACACTATGGCAGTTTCTCCACTGATGTCAAAACCCACAGGCTCCCTCTTGTCCTGGCTGAGGCCATCAGTGCACAGTTGGGTCGCAGCACCTCAGCGGAGCACCAGGCCAAGCTCTGACTTGTCTCAGGGAAACGTGGAACCAAGTGTCCAAGACCCCATGTGTGCAAAGGCTTTGCTTCAGAGCAGAGATGGGCCAGAGAGGACTGAGATGGAAACATAAAGCGTAAATTGGAAGCCAAGAGATTGAGCAAACACTCCTGTCCCCAAGGCCTGAGAGAAACTGGGCTGGGAAGTGGAGCCCTGGATAGAAAACGGTTTATGGATTTCTCCTGGCCACATCCCGTTCAGTATTTGGTTGGGTTTTCTTCATCGTGCTGTCTTATCTCCAGATCTTCAGGTCCTTGATGAGGATCCCCTCTGAGCAGGGACAACACCATGTGCCTCCCTCACCTGGCTGTGCTCTCCCTGTTCATCCACACTGCCATGTTTGCCTACCTGAAGCCCTCCTCTATGTTCTCCCCATCTCCGGATCTGCTAGTGTCATTTCTGTAATTGGTTATGCTTTCAGCACTGAACCCCATCTTCTATAGCATAAAGAACCAGGAACTCAAGGATGCCCTGAGGAAACTGATCGGTGGTTTTCCAGCAGCCATAGACTCTCAGCCTTTCTCTGCAGATGACCCTTACTATATGTCATGACAGCCCAAGAATATCTTTGCTTCTTTATACATTTTGTTCCTTATTTTTCCAGTTGTGATGATGTGTTCTTCAAAGAAATAGGATTATTCATTCCCTCCTAATTCAGTATCCAACCATCTTGTGCAACCCAGAGACTTGTTCTCAATATGGAGTTCTCTGTGTATTTAAGCAGAATAAATGAACTGACAACTTCTTTGGCTGAGATCCATCCTTATCAGGGCAGGAATGGATGGGGAATGAAAACACCAAAACACCTTTCTGGCTGCACCAGCTCAGGTCAGGTCTCTCTGTCAGCGTGGCAGCAGAAGCTGCCAGAGAACCTCCAGGGCCGGGGCTCCTGTGCAGGTCACGGGAGAGGGGATGGCATGGAGGGGCTGCAGAGCCCTCAGGATGTGCTGGAGAGGAGAGCAGGGGATGCAGGGTGCCACTGACCTCCTTCTCCTTGTGCCATTGATGCCTCCCATCTCTGGGGCTGACCCCTCTCTGCCCCTGAGGAGCTGCTCTGCCTTTTAGAGGGACTGAGGCCGTGGTGGGAGTGCCAGGAACCTGCCTTGGGACTAACCCAGACTGGGCTTTGCTGGGGAGTGAGGTGGAGGAGGAAAGGGGAGGAGGAAATCTTGCAGAAGTTGGGCTTGACAGGAAAGTACCAGGAAGAGAAAAAGAACAGAGTATAACTCATACTGCATGACCATGCAGGGTGAGGACACACCAGGGGATTTGTGGTGCAGAGCCAGGGCTTGTGGAAGGGATTGAAGGCATGCAGGTGCAGGAGAGAAGAGGCGGCTCTGTGCCCTTGTTGGCATGAACAGACCAGGAAGGTGACCCAGGGCCTTCATCACCCCCCAGTCTCTCTCACTGGCCATTTCCAGCACTGGCTGCTCACCCAAGCTTATGGGTGAGTCTTTCTGTGAGACCATCTCCATCGTCCTGCTGGTCTCAGTGCCTGTATGGGGGGACCGGCCAGTCCTGCCCAGCCTCTCTCCCGGCCCAGACCCCGGCAGACCCTGGAGCAGGGCTGTCTGTAAAGGCCAACATGGGACACAGCTGGGTCTGGGCAGGTGTTAAAGGAGACTCGAACTCCGTCGTGGGTTACTCTAGGATTTTATTCAGGTCCAGCAGCGTTGGGTCACCTCCGCAGAGAGTGACAGCTTACGTGAGTTCGCATACATGTATTTATGCACCTACAAAGCATTACCTAATCCAGAATACACAGAATTATACTATATCAGTCATTATTATCTTGACAGTGGGTTTCACATCTTGTTCTGGAGTCCGACTACTTCGTTGTTTTGTTTCTTCTTTCTTTTAGTCTTCAAGGACGATGACCTCAAGTTCTGTACGTCTCAGTTCTTAGTAGCCACAATGATAGGTCTCCCATCGATTCGGTAGCTAAGGGTCAGTTTCTCATACATCAACATCCTTTGAACTGTCAGGCCCATCATTACTTTTGTTACAACATTTTATTGATGCTCTATTCAGTTGACCGTGCTTGCAGCCCTGGGCTGGGGCTATACAGGGGACAGAGCTGATAGAACAGCTTGTGCAGCAGCACTGCATTGCAACATTTTCCCAACAGTCCCCCCTTTTCTTTTAGGATACTCACTATCCTATCAGATACAATAGGGTCTGGTGGGAATTCGAGATAAACACGAGACACAACATTGACATACAAACATTACCATGTTCAAAATGATTATGACTAAAACAACTACCATTAGAATCTTCTTGATTAAAGTTGGAAAATCAGGAATCCAGGAAGTAGCCCATTGCCATAAATCACTAACACCCCAGGATACATTGTCTCGTTGCACAACTTGCATCATATGGCTTACTTCCCATTTTGGCAACATCTTATTCTTTCGTTTAAATGTTTTTACCAACACTTCATCTCCCACCTTATAATCGTGAACCTGTACTTCTGGTGTCACACCTTGGTACCAATATGCATATTTTCTAATTTTCTGAAAGGAATCTTGTAAATATAATAAATATTGAGTGACATTCTCATCTCCATCCAGTAGTGCAGTTTTTGCTGAAATATACGAACCGGGTACAGCTAAAATTCGTCCAAATAGGACCTCTGCTGGGCTAATTCCTAACGGCTGCTTTGGAGTAGTTCTAAGATCCCATAAAACTAAATTTAATGCCTCTGGCCACTTTAATCCAGTTTCACTGCATACTTTCGCTAACTTCTCCTTAATTGTTCTATTCATTCTTTCTACTTGCCCTGATGAAGGTGGGTGATACGGAGTATGAAACTGTCCTTTGATGTCTAGGGTTACATAAACTTGTAATAAAATAGATGCTGTAAAATGCGGTCCACGGTCAGAGTCTATCACCTCAGGTATGCCATATCGAGGAATGATTTCCTTAAGCAAGATTTTTACAACTATTTTTGAATCATTCTTCCGGGTCGGGAAAGCTTCTACCCACCCAGAGAGTTGATCTACTATTACCAGCAAGTATTTATATCCGAGAGCGGCTGGCATTTCCGCAAAATCAATCTGAAGTTTCTGAAAAGGATAGACTGCTGGCGGCCTCTTCCCTGGAGTTACTTTTTGCCTTATATCTCCATATCTCTTACACGAAGAACATCCTTCAGTCAGTTTCTTAGCTGCTGAAAAGATTCCTGGTGCTGCCCATAGCTGCGTTACCTTCGAGGCTACTGCTTCGGGACCTCCATGCCCCTTCTCATGGTACCAACGGGCAAGCGGCAGTACATACCTTCTGGGCAATAGAGGTTTACCATTCAGGGTCCAGATCCCTTTATCTTGCACAGCTTGCATCTTCTTCCATTCTTCCATTTCGGTGGTCGGGACATCATGATAAAGGGTATCGGGGTTTGGGATAGAAAAGAAATTAGCAACCACAACTTCAGTCGTGGGGTAATTTTTAGTAGCGGCGGCTCGTGCTGCGGCATCTGCAAGAAAATTACCTGTTGCAAGCTGATCGGTGCGTTTCGTATGAGCAGGTATATAAATTACCGCAACTTCCTTTGGCTCTTGTATTGCCAACAACAAGTCATTAATCAAAGACCCATGTGCAATGGTTTTACCTGCAGATGTTAGAAAGCCTCTTTCTTTCCACAATGCACCGACTGCATGACAAATGCCATAGGCATACTTCGAGTCAGTGTAAATATTAACTCGTTTATTCTTAGCATACAATGCTGCTTTGGTTAGTGCTATCAATTCTGCAGCTTGAGCTCCTAATGTCGGTGGCAAGGGTTCAGCGATGAGAACAAACTTTTCAGTAGCTATTGCAAAGCCCGTAAATCTCTTACTGTGAAGATAAAAGGAAGATCCATCATAAAGAGATTTAAATCAGGGTGTTCCACCGGAGTGTCCCTCAAATCTTCTCTAGTCTTGCTTATAGTTTTCAAGACAGCTACACAGTCGTGCGATCTTTCAGGTTCAGTCACTTGGAGTAAGGTAGCAGGGTTAAGAGTCTTTGATCTCTCAAGTTTGACATTCTCCGTTAGCAAAAGGATAATTTCATATCTGTGTGTCCTTTGTGCAGAAAGTGCTTTTTCTGCATATTCAGTTAGTAAAAGTTCAACCTCATGGGGAACAGCAACTATGAGATAATGGCCTAGCACAATATTCTTTGCCTTTTCCACCAGCTCAGCAGCTGCGGCAATAGATCGCAGACAGTATGGAGATCCTCTGATAACTGGGTCCAAGGTGACAGAATAGTATGCTACAGGACGTCCATAGGGTCCATGCTTCTGAATTAATACTCCCTTTGCAATTCCTCTGTTCTCTGTTACATATAATTTAAAAGGGGTTTTTTTGTAATCTGGTAACCCAAGAGCTGGAGCATTTACCAAGGCAGTCTTCATGGACATAAAAGCTGTTTCCAATTCTTCCGTCCATGGTATGGGTTCTGGGCTCACATCTTTAGTAGTTTCTACCAAAGGTTTTGCAATTTCTGAAAATCCCAGTATCCAGGGTCTACAATATCCAGCTTGTCCAAGAAAGGCTCTCATTTGTTTCTTAGTCAAAGGTCTAGCGATTTCTTGAATTGCTTGTACCCTATCTGGATCTAATTTCCTAGTACCTCCGGCTAGTATAAACCCTAAATATTTTACCTCAGGCTCACAAAACTGCAATTTGGAGAGAGATGCTTTATGTCCTTTCTCATATAATCTAAGACATACATATTTAGTATCTTTTACACAACTGTCATAATCTTTACTTGCAATTAACAAATCATCCACATATTGTATCAATACTGACCCAGCCGGTAGTTCCAGACCTTGTAAGTCTCTCTTTAATATTTGAGAGAACAAAGTTGGTGAAGCAGTAAATCCTCGAGAAAGTCTGGTCCAGGTATACTGGCGACCTTCCCATGTAAAGGCAAATAAATTCTGGCTGTCAGGGTCAATTGGTATTGTAAAGAAAGCTCCGGTCAAATCCAAAACAGTATAGTATTTCGCCCAAATTGGTATTTTTGTAAGGATAGTAGAAGGATCGGGAACTACTGGATGTGGGGGTTCTACATATTCATTTACAGCTCGTAAATCCTGAACAAACTGATACTCAGGATTTCCATCCTCATCCTTTTGATTTTTATTTACAGGTAAAATGGGAGTATTAAAAGGACTAACAGTAGGTCTTAAGATGCCCTTATCCAAAAAATTCTGTATTCGTTTAGTGATACTAGGAATAGCTTCTGCTACAATAGGATACTGCTTAACTGCTGGGGGTATACCACCTTTAGTCTTAATTTTTACGGGGGCTGCAGATTTCAGAAGTCCCACATCTTTACTAGATTGACTCCATAGGGAGTCAATCTAACAGTATTCAAGCAGAGAAGAGCAAACTGGAGATGAACCTGCAGGAGAGTGTTGATAAGGCATATTTTCACAGCAGTGGAGACAAGGGGATCGGGTGGTATCCATTGAGCAGCAGTCCTTGTGCAGAGGATTCTCAAAACTGAGAAGGAATTGAAGTGTCAACAAGAACTTCTGAGCAATGAGAAGATCAAGGCTGAAGAAAGGGAAGAACTTTTGTTAAAGGTTCAGAGGCAGTCAGAGATTCTGGAGGACAGCCTAACAAACAAGATCCCTCAGATTCAAGAAGAATCTACTGAGCAAGAACTATTTCTTCTGAGAGAAGAGCTGAGCCAGGCAAAAAGGAAATGGCATGAAATGGAGGAAGTAAAGGCCAATGAATGTCAAAGAGAATCTGAAAAACTGGGGAGAAGCAATTTTATTCCAAAATTGCCTGAATGTTGGGAAGCAAGCACTCTGACAGAAAGTGGAGATGGTAATCTTACAATACAACTAGAGAATCTCCAAAATGAGAGAGAGCAGTTAAGAGAAACCACACAGGAGACAATTAGCAAGAATTCAGAGATGCAGGAGGAGTTGAAATGTGCTCATTGCTCTCTCAGACAACATCAGGAGACTATTGTGGAGCTGAAAGAAAGTATTTCAGAGAAAGAATATCAACTCTTAGAAGCGCAAGAGGCATTGAAGGAAACAACTGACGAACTGCAGCAGGAGCTCACTGAAGTCACTGAAAACCTGATTCATGTCTCTTCTGAATATGACAAGCTACTGTCAGAAAAAGAAGAAATTGAAAAAAAACTTAGCGCATTTTTCAGCACTGTCCCTTAACCTCGGCATTTTTTCTTGCCACAACATTAAATCACCAGGTTTCCAGGGTTAGTGTGTGGAAACTGCAATAACTGGAGGAACTTCAGGTCCTGAGTTGGGGCCTACTCTAGGATTGGAATGAAATTCCACTACCATAGGATATTGTCCTACAACAGATTTCCCTTCTGATTGTGGATGGGAACTCTGGTTCTGATTCTTTCCCTGATGATCATCAAGGAAGGCAATTAATTCTTCTCTTTTCATAGGTTTCTTTAGAGCCATACGATTTCTCAAATCGGCCCATTCCAGCCATAAAAATAAATAATTCATCTGCTGCGGATTCCTATCTTCTAATATCAATCTCAAACATTTCAACCTAGTTTCATCGAAGGTACCTTCAGATGGCCATACTTCTTGGGGACCTGCCCCTCTAATTCTGGTTAAAAATGGCCAGTCATCTTGACATAACACTATAACTTTACTCTTACTCAACCCTGCTGTCCCAGAAAGTTTATTCCAATTTGCTAATAATTCTGCCAAGGGGGATCCTTTAGGTACTGAAGGATATCCTCCCATTCTGCAATTTTCTTTGTGAGGGGTATTTCAGAGTGATCCTTTCCTATTCCAACCCACAAACACAGACAAGGGGAGACTTGAACTCACCTTTCTGTAGCCGGCAGTTTGTAGGATGTACTATCGGGATCCTCTTTTATTCGTCCTTCCCTTCACAGCCTAGAGTCCCATCTGGGGTGCCAAAACTGTTAAAGGAGACTCGAACTCCGTCGTGGGTTACTCTAGGATTTTATTCAGGTCCAGCAGCGTTGGGTCACCTCCGCAGAGAGTGACAGCTTACATGAGTTCGCATACATGTATTTATGCACCTACAAAGCATTACCTAATCCAGAATACACAGAATTATACTATATCAGTCATTATTATCTTGACAGTGGGTTTCACATCTTGTTCTGGAGTCCGACTACTTCGTTGTTTTGTTTCTTCTTTCTTTTAGTCTTCAAGGACGATGACCTCAAGTTCTGTACGTCTCAGTTCTTAGTAGCCACAATGATAGGTCTCCCATCGATTCGGTAGCTAAGGGTCAGTTTCTCATACATCAACATCCTTTGAACTGTCAGGCCCATCATTACCTTTGTTACAACATTTTATTGATGCTCTATTCAGTTGACCGTGCTTGCAGCCCTGGGCTGGGGCTATACAGGGGACAGAGCTGATAGAACAGCTTGTGCAGCAGCACTGCATTGAAACATTTTCCCAACAGCAGGGGTCAGATTCTGGGGGAGCTTCCAAAGTAGCATGGCCTTGGGAGGAGGAACAACTGTCTTGGGGATTAAATCAGAGAACCTTTCAACTGTCATAAACCAAATGAAGGAGGTGATTGGGAAAATACAGCAGAGATTGACCAAGGGAAAATCATGCCAATATAACATCATCATCTTCTTCAACAAAATAACATCTTCTAGTGACATGTGGGCAGCAGTGGATGTTGTTGTCCTGGACTTCAGCAAAGCATTCAACACTGTTTCTTATACCCTTCTACTGGACAAAGTGGCAAGACACAGACTGGAGAGGTGGTGTGGGAGATGGGTAGGAAATTGTCTCACAGGCTGCACTCAGAGGATCATGATCAATGCTTTTACTCAGGCTGGAAGCCTGTAGAATGTTGGATCCCCCAGGAATTGCTATTGGGTCCCATGCTGTTCAACATCTTCATAAATGATCTGGATGGTGGGGTTGAAATCACCCTCACCAAGTTTGCTGATGACTTTAAGCTGGGTGTTGAGGTGGACATGCCAGAAGGGAGACACATGTTACAGAGAGACCTGCACAGGCTGGACAAAAGGGCCAGCAAGAACAATATGAACCACGAGCCAAAGACAAGTCAAAAGTCCTGCACCTGAGTCAGAGCAACCAAAGAGCCCAGTAGAGGCTGGGAGGTGTGTGGCTGGGGAGCAGCCTTGCTGAGAAGGACCTGGGGGTTCCTGGTGGACAGCAAGCTGAAGAGGCTCCGGCAGTGCCCCACTGCAGCAACAACAGCAAATAGGCTCCTGGGCTGCATCCACAGGGGCGTTATGAGCAGACACAGGGACATGATCATCCCACTCCTCTCAGGCTTTGTCAGGCTACAGCTGGAGTGCTGTGTCCAATTCTGGTCCCCACAATGAAAGAAATCCGCAGGCAGACTGG